ATTTTGGTGGAGCCTCCTTCTCTGGAGGTCTTTAAACAGTGTCTAGATGGCCATCTGTCCCAGGGAGGGCTTGGATGGCATCTTCCTGCATGGCAGAAGGAAGGCTAGACTAGATGGCCTTTGGGAGTCTCTTCCAACTCTAGGATTCTATGAAATTTTGTTGAAAAGGAACATTTTGTAGAGAGAGCTACAAACCCAGAGGACAGCTGTCCCATTCACTTTCCCATTCAATGTTGGAGACAAATGGCAGATCCTTCCCTGCTTATGAACTTCCGGAGACCTGTCTTTTCCTTTTGGGTGAAGAGAAGGATGGCCTCCAGAAGCTCTTATCATCAGCACGTTGTTTGCGCACAACCGACACACTTGCCATTATTCACACATGTATTTGCTCATTTGCAATGCCACCCAATCTGTTGTTCCATCTCACAGGGCGCCTTCGTTTCATCCCTGCTTTTCCATTTCCTTCTCTGCGTTCTGTTCCTCGTGTCAAACTTTTGATGATGAGTTCTGTTTCGAATAAAGATGTCTTTCTTTGATCCTTCTGGATATCTTACGCACGAAGTGAACATTTCTCAAAAGGACAGTTTCAGCCAGTATTAATGGAAACAGCATAGCAAAGAAGATAATTTTCTAATACATACAAGTCAGAATCCTACTACAGGTTGAGTCCCTCTTATCCAAAATGCTTTGGAGCAGAAGGGTTTTGGATAATGGAATATTTATTTACTTATTTTTGGATTGTGGAATACCTTTATTTGCATATAGGTACATAATGAGATATCTTGGGGATGGGACCCAAGTCTAAGCACAAAATTCATTTACGCTTCATTTATGTTTTATATACATCTTATACACACAGCCTGAAGGTAATTTTATGCAATGTGTAATTCTGTGCAATATTATGCAATATTTAAAGTGAGAATTTTAAGTGATGAATTTTAAATGTGGATTGTTTTAATATGTGTATGTCTTATCAGTCCTTCAAATTGGTGTGGGGTTGATTTCATAGTATTATATTTTTATGTTGGAAGCCGCCCCGATTGCTAAGCAGAGGGGTGGGGTACAAATAATTTTATTATTATTATTATTATTATT